AAGCTGAAGCCTGCAAGGTCTTTGCTTGTGGAAGATTAGATTGTACAGAGACTAGAAGCTTCTGGACCTAGACCTAAGGATAGTTAGAAATGCTCGGTGTCCAGCCCAAGCCATGTATTTGTGAAGCTCAGGTGCGCCTCTCACCTTATCCCCACTTCTGAGGAAATACAGGGTCTGTCTCTGGCATGAACTCAGTGGCTGGCTCTTTGATCACCTCCCTCTGAGGGGGAACAGTCTTACCAGGGCACAGAGGAAGACAATGCAACCAGTCCTGATGAGACCTGATAGGCTAGGGTTAGATGGAAGGAGTGGAGGACCTCCCCTACCAGTGGACTGGGGTTGGAGCATGGGAGGAGAAGAGGGAAGAAGGGGAAGGGAGGAGGAAGAGGGTTACAGCTGGGATACAAAGTGAATAAACTGTAATTAATAGAAAAATAAACTAAAAAAAAATTGGTGTGGCAAAAGACTGCACAGTTGCAAAAAGGACTCTGACTTCACAGGGCACTAACCCAAGAGCCTTCATAGAAATTATTTGAACAGAAGATGCCTCTTTATCCAGCTGCTGTCAAGATAATAAATCTCTGTCATCTTTTCCTATTTGTTGTTTTTGACAGGCAGCTCATGGTTGTATTTACCAACTTTCTAAGTGTACATGTATTTGTAATTATGAAACACTTTTTCACCACAATTAAGTAGCTGGGCTGTTTAAGAAAGAAACACCCCCAGAAGTGCTAAAATGTTATAGCTAAGACATACATCTGCCAAAACAGATTAGCAGTGAGTTTCCAGAACAGAACAAGTAGTCTTGATCTCCTTACCTAACAATTTGTCTTATGTCAAACCTCCCTGCTTTCAGGGAATGATGCTCCTTGATGAAAGTTTATATTTTGACATTAAACATTTTGAGGCTGAAAACGCTGGGCAATCAGTTTCAACCTGCTTCCCAGGTTGAATGTTGCTGCATTTTTTTTATGGTATCCATACTATAATAATGCCATATATTTCTAATAGACTTGATCTAGTCTGAGAGCCTAGTGGAATTTACTGACCAAATGAACTCGAGATTAAATATCTTGGTTATGTAAACACTTGTGAACATAAAATAATTTTTACACCTCAAGTCTCATAACCATCTCCATTATCTTTGTCTTGATCTTTATTTTAGTGACATTGGCATTAACACATGGCAACATCAAAAAACAAAACAAAACAAAAATCGAAAACAAAACACTGTCCAAGCAGAATTAAAACATTATTTAACCAGAATACTCAAAGTACAGATTTTTGTAGTTGTTGTTTTTAAGATAGTCTCTCTGTGTAGTCCTGCCTATTCTGGAATTCACTGTGTAGACTAGGATGACCTCTAATATGTAGAGATCCTTCTTCCTCTGCCTGCCTAATGCTGAGATTAAAGGCATGTGCCACGGTGTCCAACCATGTAGTTGTTCTTACAATGAATTGTTTTTAAATTCGGTTCTCATGAAAAATAATTTTAAAGTGCACTAACTCCTCTAATGTAGTACATATAGTATCTGTTTTGTAATTTATATATCTTTGTTCTCGTCAGGAGCCTGTTAGGTGGAATACATAATGATTACAGGACGATGATTGATATTCTCTTGAGGAACTAGACAGATGGCCCGTGTTTATGCTTTGGAGACAGCCTCTCAGGCTTCAGACTCCATCATTTCCTAATTGAGTAATCTGGGGAAAATAGCTTCACTGCTATGTACTACAGTTTCCTCATCTGTGAAATGGGAGGGATGAGGATTTAATGAGTAAATACGTAAAAGATATCTGAACTGTGCCTGGCGTATAGAAAAATACTCAGTAAATATCTCAGAATAGATGAACTGCCGTATCTATTAAGAACCCCAAGTAGTTTCATGTTCATATGGTTTAATAAAGTCAATGGTAACAATGATACTGGTTTTCAAATACAAAGTACATTCTTATTATAAAATCTACAAATTTAGTAACTCATTACTAAATTATCTCTGCTACAACATTAGTACAGGTTGTGTAACTCTTACCTAAAATAATTTTGAGTTTTATTTACATATAAATAAAATGAAGTCTATTGGGGGTGGGGTCTGGATAGAACAAAATTATGTTTCCTGTACAGTTTATGGACATAGCTTGAATGTAACATTATGTATTTTTGTGGTTGCTTGTTTGTTTTGTGCTTCTGTGTTGACTGTACCTGTCATATGAGGTCAATGTGGGAATTTTTGCTTATGTCTGGTAAATTGTAGATTTTGAAGACTTCTGGAATTTGGGCTGCACTTGGAGACAGTTGGAAGACATTCTGTATAGTTAGTAGTCCTGTTGGTGTCTGTGCAAGATGCCCGAAGTCATGCTTTCTTTGCTCTGGTGTGCATTTAGTTAAGCTAGCAGCTAAGGAGGCTTAGATATCCATTGCCTATGCTGGGAGTACACACGCAGTGTACTGATGCTTTTAGGTCTCCGTGGCTGAGCCCAGGTGGCCCACCTGGACCTAACCTCATTATTCAGGCACACAGGGCTTTGGAATCTGTTCATTCTGTCATCCTACACTGTTTCTCCTGCAGATTTAAAGGCCTTGAGGGTGTTAGTTGTGATGTCTTGAAGTCAGCAGATCTCGTAGATTCTAGTGTTTCTCTTCCACTTCAGTCTTTTTCATTAAAGAGTTTTATTTTTATATTGTGAATAAAAGGAAGTTAATTCCTTACAAAATAATGGAGTTGCAGTAATTTGCTAACCAATTTTTACTGATCTTTTATTTTATTTTTTAACTTCCCTTGTACCCTATAAAGAAGCCATGAGGTATGATTTGTTCCAAGATTTTCATCCCGCACTGCCTAATTCATACTTGTTTGTCAAATGAGTTGAATTTGCAGGACAAAAGGTCCTGCTTTGGGCAAATTTGTTTGCAGAGATCTTCAGAGCCATTTCAGCAATGCAAGAGAGCAAGCTGGGTGTGGAAAACACAGAGCAGGAGGGCTTGTGGTGAACTTTATTTGAAGCTGGACTGAATCCCAGGGTTTGTGGACTTTGCTATGGAAAAGCAAAAGCTTTGACCAGGAGACCAAATGTGAGTAACAGTAACCTGGAGGTCTTCTGAATTATCTCTGTTTTCCAGATCAGGGAGTGCAGGGAGTTAGGAGAGGAAAGCTATAAATAAACACACAAGATACACTGATGTCTGTGTAAGTACCCTTGAAGAGAGTTTTAGTCAGCTGACTGCTGTTTGCCTTGTGCTGCACTGAGGGGGAAATGGTGATGCCCTGAGACTCATAAGAGGTGCTTGCAAACCCATCTTTGTTGTTGTAAATTTATAAGCTGTTTAAGGAGCTTCTAATTTCTGCTAGTGAGAGCATTTGCAACTTTTCTAGTCAGAACAAAAGCACAAGATGAACATTCCAGAAGGCACAGCGTCTGTAACGCACAGGTGTGATGTCCTTGCTGACAGGGAAACACTTCATTTCCAGACTTCAGGAGAAGCTGGGGGAAAGCAGCTAGGGCACCAATCACTAATATAACAACTGAAAGCATGAGGGTTTGAAAGCATTTTCCACTCCACAGGACAGTGCCTCTGTGAGGTCACTGTTTATACGATGGTGCTTCATTCTTATCATCCCCTTCCTCTTTCAAAGCTTTGCTATAAACCACACCACAAATCAAGAAAGTTAGCTTGTGAAAACCCTTTCCGCTTTTCTAAGAGTTCTTGACAATGAACCTCATTTAGCCCAGAGAACCACTCCTCTTTCTCTTCCTCCTGTCCTTGCTTGGTGGCACACAAGTTAATTTTATACTGTGGACATTTCTATCTATCTCAGTAAATACCTCTACCTTTACTTCATGTGTTATGACAATGGGTTTTGCCTTTTGAAAAGAAATATTGGAACTGCCAAACTGGGCAGAAATACTTTAGTAAAGGAGTATTGACAAGTCAGACAATGGGACTTTGGACTGAACAGTTAGTTTTATGTTCTCATAAATTTGGAAAGTGGTGTGTGTGTTTGTGTGTGTGTGTGTGTGTGTGTGTGTATGTGTGTATCATTACCAAAATGAACCAGTTTTGAAATTAGTAAGTTCTCTTAATAAAATACATCCTGTTAACAAAATGCTACAAATCTGTCTGAAAAACGGTTGAGTGAGAAAAGAAAGCATCTTGTAGAACACCAAGTAGTCTTTGCTTATCTAGGTATTTGGTGAGAGGAGCTTTGGGAAGGATTGTTAATGCTGAGAATTGGTCTGTATCCCTCTGTGTAACCACTATGTGCTACTAAAAAGTTCCTTTGGTGAACTTCCTGCTGCTTTTCCTCTTTTCCTGGGCTGTGTCTGCTCTCCTGACATTCTGAGCATGCCCCTCATGCTCCTCCTATCTCATAGTGTCCATCTCCATGTGGAAGGATCTGTGCTGCTCATTCATGCTTACCTGGTGCTACGTTTTTATAAGATTCTTGTGCAGTCCATGTCTTTGGGTCCTCAGATCAGATCAGCTAGTTATAGTTTGTGTTCCCTTAGTGGAAAGGACTTATAAGGTATTGATTAAACTCAAGCATTCTTAAGGACTGTATTTAAGTGGCTGCTGACTCTGAGAAGGCATCAGCATGTCACTTATGTGTATTAAGTAAAAAAAAAAAAAAATCCAACAGCTCTCAATTAGTTATAACTATCATTTAATGTTTTGAGTAATAGTCAATTATAACAGTAAAGCTCAGGAATCAAATCAGTACTACATTTTTACTTTCAGTTATTACCTGATTGGAATCATGTTTAAACATTATTAAATTTTTTTGAAATATAAAATTTTCTAACAGTCATTTTACCTAACCAAATGCCTTCCTTTCTCAGTAGAAGTGTTCTTTCCCCTATCATTTGCTTTCTTAGTTTATTTCATGTGTCTTTTATATAATAGACCTGAGCCGGCGTGTGTTGAAGGAGGAGGCTGTATGACATTTAGCAGCTTTGCGTGTGATAGAATTTAACCTCGGCTTATGTCTCTCCCTACACAGTCCCTTCAGTCTGAGTATGTCCATTACTAAGGCCCTGCCACTCCCGTGAAGGCGACTCCATTCTTAGACATCTGGACATACACTGTGCAATGTGGAGGAAGCTGCCTGTCTGGAGGATGTCTTAATTAGAGAGAGTGCTAACGTAGCACCATCGAGAGACTTGAGCACTGGCTAATGACTACTATAAATGCACTGTAACGATGTTTATGGAGATGTCCATACTTGTAAAGACAGTTCTAGTGTTAAATTTGGTATTTGAAAAGGTTATTTTTAATGTATTTCAGTAATGCATTTGTTACTGCGTTTCCATGTACAGTGTTACATTATATATGTATCGTGAACTTTATAAAAGACTATTTTGATAATTTTATAAATATATAAAATTATGTAAAAGCTAGACTATATTTTGGTTTAGATTTTCCTGCTGTTTGCTACCAAAAGATTTGTATTTTAAATTTGTTTAGCTTTAGTATGGCTTTGTCTACAGTGAGTAAATAATTCTTCTTTATGTAGTGACAGTGAAGGGAGCACATTTCTAGGAAGTGATTTTGATGTTCCACTATGAATTCAGTAGATCAGGGCATTCTCTGCTGAAGTCGGTCTGAATAAGAGTCTATCCAAATTTATCTCTATCAAGAGTGGGGTTGTTTGATAGGGTTTTATTTAGGAAAACACTTTTTCCCTTCAGTTTCGTTCTTGAGTCTTTTAAGTAGGAGGCTTAAAAACAAAACAAAAAGACCCTAGCATTTCTTTAAGATCAGAATTCACTGGGCGTTTCTTCTAAAAGCATGATTTTTTTTCTCTCTATGAAATGACAGAACATTCCAAATGCTTTTATTTCTCTTCTCCTCTCATGAGTGCTTTAAAAAAATGCCTTACGTGTTTTATTTTGCTTATACCTTTTTGTAAATATGCAAAGGAAGGATACAGATTTTGAGACCCATGTCTACAGTTCAAAAGAACGCACTCAGTAAATGTACAGCTGGTAGAGATCAAAAAGCACTTCAAAAGAGTTAATAACTCAGAACATTTTGTTCTTGGTACGAGGTGGTCACTCTGCGCTGTAAGCAAGCATGGTCCGATGTCGGTTTTAAAGCGATGAAGGAATAAACCGGAAAAACGCTGCTCAGTAGATAGATCTGTACACTAAAGGAGACATTTTGGTGGAAGCACATCCTCCTGAATGTGCGCCTGGGTCTGTCTGGAACCGGATGAGAAACCGGAAGGACCCCTGGGGGAATGCTCAGCCCTTCCATGTAAGTTTCCGGAAGCCTGTTGGCTTCTTGTCTTTTTGAGATAGAGATTCTTAGACACTGATTCTCTTCCAGGCTGCTTGAGAACGGGCAGGGACTGGTTAGATGGATTCAGACAAGGTGCTTCATTCAACTGTTGAGTTATTTATAATGTATTTATCAGGAGGGGACATACTCAGACTGTTCTACATGCTTCAGCAAGACACCCTGCTCCTGTTTTATGCTTTTCAAATGATATTGGAATGAATGTTTGACTCAGGTTTGTTAACACAGTTTCCCAGAACTGCAGTACCAAAATATGGCACTCACCTGATGGAAAGCTGAATTATATGTTGTAAGAATTAAAAGCATAAAGAACACTTAAATTGTGTATCTTTTCCAAAGTTGAAGAAGTGAAGTATTTTATTATGAGTTATTATTTTAAAATGTTGGTTCATAGTATAGGGAGAGAATACTGTTTCTTTCAGATTATCGTAAAGGAGTGATAGAGGTGACATTTGAGATGTGGCGAAGAGAACCGTATTATCATTTTTAGTTGTTCTATGAACACTAACGAGTGCAGCTACTAAAGTGATTGTAAAGTTGACTACTGTAAAGTTTCCATGATTACATGTGTATATACGTCATATGTGTCTACATGTGTATGTCTTAAGCTTATTTATACACATGTGCATACATAAGGCACACCAAGAAGGGGATGTATATATTATAGAGACTATATAGCAGAGAGATTCTCCACTTATAATAAAAATTGTTTGCCATGTATTTTGTTATGAATAGTTTATCTTCCAGAAGATATTTTGTTCTATTTTGAAGTGTAGAAAAATACACTGCTAATAAATAAAAGTTTTATGCAATTTACTCCTGGACATTCATCATTTGGATTTTGAGCTGTTGGTGTACTGAAGGTCTCTGTAATTTTATTCTTAACTCCGCTTGGTTGGCTCCCTTTGGCTTCCTCGGCTCAGAATTCTCGATTTTCAGTTCATCTCGTATTGATCTCCTTTTGCTATTCCTTTCTCAGAGCAAGGCCACATGCTCAGAGCAAGTTTGTACTACAAATTTCACAAACATCAGAGAATGTTAGATTCCTCTTCTCTCTCTTTATCTGATTATCTCTCTCTTTACTCTGATTTTCCTTCCTGTTAATAAAATACCACTAAGACCCAACGCTACGGATCCTGCTATGTCATTTGCAGCTATTGATGATGCTTGCGCAGCATGCTGGGTGTCCATCAGTTCCTTTTGATGAAGAATGACCTTTTTTTTTTTCCTAAAGGAAAAATTACAGAACTAAATTGAGCTATTAGGATAATGCTGTCATGCCCCTGTCCAGAAAGCACAGGAAACTGTTTCCCTGTGAATGGGAAGGGGTTTTTCTCCCTCTTCCTAGTGCTGGAGATCGAATCCCAGATTTTATTCTAGGCAAACTCTTTACCCTGTGGTACAACCCCGGCTTATTCCTAGAGTTGGAAATTTACAGTTAGCTCATTCTCACTCAGGGAACGAAAACAGCTAGGGTCAAAGGTTATCAGGGCATGGCCTCTTAGAGAGGACTTATTTTTATTTTTTTAAATGAATCCATGGACCTGTTTCAAAGCACAGAAGAATTCTTTTGTACAGATTGAATTGCTGTGGAAAAGGAAGTTAAAATGAATGGAATTAGCCAACCTCAACAAACTCTTCACCAACTGGTCATTACATTTATACATATTGTTATCCTTAGATAGAAACAAATTATCGGTCTTAAAACACATCTGGAAAGACTTACGGCTATTTATGTTTTACATCCATTACTCAAATACAGCAGAAATGTGAACTGACTAGCATCAGATACATAGCATTTTAAAAACTGCCCTTATGTGTGTGCTTTCCGCGGTCACATGTGCAGCTATCTATCTGTGAAATGTCTCTGAGTCAGTTGGTGTTTCAGTCCAACAGTACTCTCTGGTGGTTCATGCCTTGACAGAAGCCAGTTGGCAGCGTTAAGGGCACTGTGAGGGCCTTGTAATCCTCTGCCCACTGCATAGTAAAGCAAGAATTCTGTCACTGAGTGTCTTCTCGGAAGATTAAATAGTAATCACAATTACAGAGTGAATGATTTCATAAGATTTAACTACTTCATTTGCAAAGGGATTGAATATGTGGGGGACAACCACAACGTACAAAGCTAACTGGAAAACAATGTATTAAGTTATTTCGAACCAAATTGAAATGTTAATATATTCCCACCTGGTTCTTCCTCTATGGGTTGAATTATAATCAGATCAAGAAGGAGGAAAAAAAATAGCTTTTCTAGAGAATTTTAAACTTTTTTCCTTGGGTAAATAGAAAGTAGGATGACGTTTAATGCGACATCTATATCTTTTCGGGGGGGGGGGCAATTGGTTTTAAATGGAAAATTTCACCCCATCCTTGTTTTAATTTACATATCACTAATATCAAGATGAGTGACATCACCATTTGCTTTTTCTCTTTGGGTTTTAAGCAAGTTGACCAAAACATGTTTGAGCAAGGGAGGATGGGGATTCAGGCTTATTAGGAACTGTAGAAATGGCTACAAACAGCATAACTAAGCAAAGCCCAGGAATGACTGCAGCCTAAGCATTTCTCCTGAAACCTCAGAACGAGGGAACATGGAGATCATTCACCAAGTATGTCTTCATTATATTATGACTCCTCTAAAAGGACCTGAGGTGGGACTTCAGAAAACAGCAGATGAACTACAGGGGAGAAAATTGGGGCTGGACATCAATCTCCGAAGCAGCTGTTACTAGTACTTAATGGTGAGATATGACAAGATACCTGTCATCCCATTCTAGTCTGGACAATTTGAAAACACACCTTTAGTCTGCTCCACAACTCCTACTGAGATTTATTATGCTTAAAAATTTAAGATCTTTTTCCCTCAAGTTAGATTGTCAATTTTAACATTCAGATCCCCCAAATAATTATTGAATGCAAAATTGAAAAAAAAATCAAAATCAGAGACCATGATAGCATAATGACTACCTACCTAATCTATCTATGTATCTATCTATGTATTTATGTATGTACGTATGTATGTATGTATGTATGTATGTATCTATCTATCTTTCAGTGACATTATCAACTGTCATCTTTTCATCTGACTATCACCTACTTTGCCTCTACAAGATAAACTGTAACTTTAGTTAGGAAGATGCGATCCTGTTGAATTTTGCCAACTGAATTTTGAGGCAACTGTACCCTGGTACCATGTCTGTGTGGCCAGCTGGGTTAGACAGGCCTAGCTTCTCCTGACTTGAGGAAAGGTGTAATTCCTTTTCCTGTCCTTCCAGCATACCAGTCTTGGGTAACTGGTCTTGGGATTTTTATGGTACTTTTTGTCTAGCTAGTGGTACACTTCACCTTTAGACCCTGTGCCTTTCATGGCTGGGACAGAGTCAAACAGTAATGCTGAAGAAACAGACATGCCTCATTAGAAGACTCATTGGTGGTAAAATCATGGGCCTCCGGGCCTTTGTGTCACCAAGAACCTCTACTTGGCAGGCAGAGGGAGTCTGTTTCTATGATACTGAACCAAAGGCCAGACAAGGGACAGTCTTGTGTCATGACAAGAACTGGGACTGCTGAATACACAAGCCTTGAAAATGGAGTAAGATGACAAATGGAGGCTTTTGGATAGCTTGATTTATTTTACAGGCAAGTCTTCTGGGAAAATTATCCTTAATTAAGGATTTCAGTGTAAGTGACAGGTTGTTAGGATCGTTAATTTTTAAGATGAAAACAAAAGAGGAAAAGTTCACCCACCTGGTCTATAGGGAAGGAAAAATAAAATCAACTGTTAAGTCAACTTTCCCCTTAGACCAGGGAAAGTCCTGTGTATTGGGGATCCCCAAGACCCCTCCCAGTTTCTGTGGCTCAGGAGAGCCAAGAAAGAACATAATGTAAATGGAGAAAAAGAAAAGACTTCAGGCCGAAGTCTCAGGCCTCAGGTACTGTCTCCAAAGAGTCTTTTCCTAGTGGAGAGGAAAACACAGCCTCCAGCCACGAGTGGTGAAAATGGTGCTGCTCGCTAGGAAACCCATCAGAGACCAGGGAGCCAAGGGTGTCTGTCATTGGGCTGTTGTTCGTTCGCCCTGCCTGCCAGCAGCTAGGATTCTAGGCAACAAAAGGAGAGTGGGGACTTGAATAGGCCAAACTGGTTGCATAGTCCAGGCACAGAAAATGACTATTACCATTGCAAGGAGTTTTATTTTTATACTTTAATTAAAATGAAATTCTATCAGCCTTTCTGCCTCTCTTTTCTCCTTCCAGCCCTGCCCTGCTACCTTCCCTGGAGCCCCTTCAGGTATGGCCTCTCTCGAGTTGATAGCCTTTTTGCCTTGAATATTATTGGTACATATGTGTATGTATGCATATACATGCACATATATACACACACACATATATATATATATGTATACAATTGGCTGAGTCTGTTTTTGTTGGTGGGTTGTGTATCTGGTCTCAAGGCTGTTCATGCTACACTGGACAACCAATGAAAGAGCTCATTCTTGAGAGAGGCTAAGTCTCTTCCCAGCGGTCATTAGTTTGTAGTTCTATGTCTAAGGGTGGGACCCTGAAAAAATTCCCCCCTTCCACATTAACATGTCTGCCATTGCCATCGCCTTGCTTATGGAGCCATTTCTAGGAATGACCTTCATAACAGACTTCCTTGTATTCTGGCTCTTAAAACCTTCCTGTCCCCACTTCAGAGGTGTTCCCTGAGCTACTGATATAGAAGCTAAGATGGAAGTCTTATATAGCTTACCTTTGGAGTTCTCAGGCAGAACTTGTTAGTTGGCCTTTGTTAGGGAAGGCATTTGAATGCACATCCTGTACCATAGCCAATCACATCTGTTGGAACTAAAGCTTATTTAAATGGATGTGTAGTTCCATGGGAAGTTGACTCTAGTCTGTGTCCTAGATTTCTGTGGGGGAAATGAAGAGGCGACCCAGTCTCAGTTGACTAGAGTTCTTCGTGTGTTAGAGCAGTGGCTCTCAGCCTTCCTAGTGCTGTGACCCTTTAATACAGTTCCTCATTTTGTGGTGACTCCCAACCATAAAAGTGTTGTTGTTGCTGCTGTATTTTTGTAACATCTTGCTACAGTTAGAAATGGTTTTCAGATGGTCTTAGGCAACCCCTGTGAAAGGGACATAGAAACCTCAAAGAAGTCAAGTCCCACAGGTTGAGAACCAGTGCATTGGAGCTTGAGATTTTAGATGCATAAATCAGATGCGGTAATGGTCTGACTTCCCATTGTTTATAAAATCCCAACAAACTAGTTCCCTGTCTCCATATCTCACTCATTGCAGCCCACGGCAATGTAGGGAAAACTCTCCCAAATCTTTGTTCAGAACTGTCACTGGAGCACTTATCCAGTGAGTGCAAATAGAGAAAGGGCACGTGTGTGGACTAGTCCAGAGTTTGCTCACAGCATCTCTTTCACTTACCTGTTAATAAATAAGCAAAATAAAAGGTATTAATATAATTTTAAAACACTACAATTTAAAAATATTAAAGGCAACACTAACGATTGCAAAGGGAGGCAACATAGCACATTTAAAAAGGATATACTTAAAAATCAAAATATAGATTAAAAGAATGTGTAGCTTAGTTACAGAACGATGGCGCTGACTATACTGTCTGGCTCACAGAGTTTAGATTGTTAAAAGTACTCCCGTGCTTCACAGCTTTCCCCAGGTTGGCCATCCAAAATGGATAGTCAAGAGCTGGCGGAATGTCTCACTCGTAGGCAGGTTTATTACATGAGGACTGTTCTGCTTAGGGCTCTGAC